ATTATAAGCCAGGAGGATACAACTTGATGAGTTGTATCAAAGAAATCCCCACTCTAAAAGGTGATAACTATATTGAGTGGAAGAAAAAGATAGACTGGCCTTTATCCTCATTTGAGGTTGGTAGGTTGTCACCACACCGTGCCCTAAAGAACCCGAGGCACCGGTGGTGGAAGCAGATGAGACCGACATCGCATGGCGTAAGCAGAGAGCGGATTTTGCTCCGTAAAAATGTCCTATGACCTTGAGCATAGGAAATGGGTCCTTGCCAACAAGAAGTGTGCGGCGTTGATAAAGAACACGATTGAGCACGCTATAGTGGGCTCAATTCCAGATGTGACACGGTCACTGAGTACCTAGACGAGAATAAAGAGTCGAGTTCTTTGGCTCTTCAAAGATATGCAACCCAAATTGGTGATCAAGCGGTGGTCTGAAAAAAGGTACTACGGTGGCGGCGGTGGCATTAGAGAGCTTTATCTTGAGAATGAGCAATCGGCATCTAAGCTCAAACCAATGGATTTGGCACTCAAGGATGAGTTTCTTATTCATTTGATTTTTGCTTCTTTGCCCAAAGAATTTGACACATTTGTTGTTAATTACAACATACAGCCTGAAAAATGGGATTTGGAAAAGCTCATAGCCATGTGTGTGCAGGAGGAGGAAAGAATAAAAGTTTCACAAGGTGGTTCTGTCAACTACCTAAAAGATAAGAAAAAGAACTATAATAATAGTTCTTCCTCCAAATCATCTGGAAAAGGTCCCATGCAACAGTCTCAGAACCAGCAATTCCCAGTGGCTAAAGACCAGTGTCTCCACTGCAAGAAGACAGGGCATTATAAAAAGAATTGTCCTGATTTCTTAAAGATGATTATGAAGAATAAAGGTGAGAACATTATTACGTTCGTAAATGAATCCTTGTATGTAAAGTTTTCAAAATCTACTTGGTGGATTGATTCAGGTGCAACTATTCATGTTGCTAATTCATTCTGAGGATTCCGTTCGATGAGAACTTTGCAAAGAAGCGAAAGTTTCATTAAAGTAGCAAATGGAGAACAAGCAGATGTTGAGGCCGTTGGTGATCTTCCGTTAGAGCTTGCTGATGGCTTCATAATTATTCTTAGAGATGTTCTTTATGTACCTTCTTTGCAAAGAAATTTGATTAGTGTTTCAAAGTTGGACCATGATGGTTATGATTGCCATTTTGGAAATGGCAAATGTCAGATATTGTTTAATAATAAATGTATTGGTCTTGCCTTCCGACAAGACGAGCTTTATTTGTTATCACTTCGTGAAAATGTTAATTCCGTATGTGATGTGAATGAAAATGTATCCTCATCGAACAATGGAAACAGAAAACGAAAGAGAGCTCAAGATGCGTTGTCGAAATTATGGCACTTCGTTTAGGCCATATTTCGAGGGGGAGAATAGAAAGACTAGTTAAGAATGATATTCTTCCTCCATTAGAGCTCTCGGAGTTAGAACAATGTAGAGATTGCATAAAAGGAAAGTATGTAAAGAAAATTAAGAAAGATGCCAAGCGAGGCGCGGGAATTCTCTGATTATTCACACGGACATATGTGGTCCTTTTTCCGTGAAAAGTGTGGATGGTTATGATTCATTCATAACATTCACAGAACGATTACTCTCGGTTTGGCTACATTTATCCAATTAAAGAAAGAACGAAGCGTTGGATAAATTTAAAATATTTAAAGCGAAGTTGAAAATCGGCATGATTTAAAGATTAAGATAGTCGGTCGACCGTGGAGGAGAGTACTACGATTGGCATACCCCATATGGACAAGTTCACGGACCTTTTGCAAGGTTCTTACAGGAGAATGGTATAGTCGCCAAAGATTCAACGGCAGGCGAACCTCGGTGAGAATGGAGTAGGCTGAAAGGCGTATAGTACCTTGATGGATATGGTGCGTAGTATGATAAGTTACTCCACTTTACCCACGAGTTCGTGGATGGAGGCGTTAAAAACCGCCATTCATATTCTCAATAGAGTACCAAGTAAGTCGGTGCCCAAAACACCGTATGAGTTGTGGACGGAAGAGTACCATCACTTAACCACTTGCGTGTGTGGGGAGCCCTGCTTTGAGGCTAAAGTTTTAACCCAAACATTGGGAAGCTAGATCCCAAAAAGCAGTGAGTTGCCATTTCATTGGCTACCCGGAAAAGTCAAAAGGTTTTCGTTTTCTTGTCCCTATGAGGACATACAAAGTTTGTGGAAACGAGACATCTTTGTCTTCCTAGAGGATGAAATGATTAGGGGAGCATGGTAGCTCGAGAAATTGACCTTGAAGAGAAGCGGGTGTATGCACCCACTCCGATCATTCATGAGCCATTTTTCTCACTACTAGCATTCTTTGCACCAACAAGACAAAGACAACGTGGTGCCAAAGACTGTTGTTATCCCACTGTGGCAACAATGAATGATGATGAAGAACACGTGGCTCGGGATCCTATAGAACCTATTGCCACACATGAGGGGGAGCAACAACAGACCTCAAGCAGAAAAAATGTGCCAATTGAGGAGGCCCCTAGAAGGTCTCAAAGAGTTAGAAAATCAGCTATTTCTCTTTGATTATGAAGTGTACAACATCGAAGAATTTCAAATGGGGATGATCCCACCTCATTTGAAGAAGCCATGAAAAGTGATCATTCATCAAAGTGGCTTGAGGCCATGGAAGATGAGATGAGATCAATGAATGCAAATAAAGTTTGGGATTTGGAGATAATTCCTAAAGGAGCCAAAACAGTAGGCTGTAAATGGGTCTACAAAACAAAACTTGACTCTCAAGGGAATATAGAAAGATATAAAGCCCGACTTGTGGCAAAAGGCTTTACACAAAGAGAAGGGATTGATTACAATGAGACTTTTCTCCGGTCTCGTGTAAGGATTCCTTCGAGAATCATAATGGCATTAGTGGCACATTACGATTTGGAATTACATCAGATGGATGTAAAGACGGCATTTCTCAACGGAGACTTAGAAGAAAATGTTTATATGGCACAACCAAAAGGTTTTGTCATAGAAGGAAAAGAACGTTTGGGATGCCGCCTAAAGAAATCCATTTATGGATTAAAACAAGCTTCAAGACAATTGGTACTTGAAGTTTGATCGAACAATAAAGAATTTTGGGTTTAAAGATAATGTTGAGGACAATTGTGTCTATGCAAAGTTTAAGAATGGGAAGTTTATCTTCCTTGTTACGTATGTGGATGATATCTTACTTGCTAGTAGTGATGTCACCTACTCATCGGAAACAAAGAAGTTTTTGTCCTCAAAGTTTGATATGAAAGATCTTGGTGAAGCTTCGTTCGTTCTAGGGATCGAGATTCACCGAGATAGAAGTAAAGGGTATTAGGACTGTCACAAAAGGCATACATAGAAAAAGTCTTAAAGAAATTCAAGATGCACAAATGTAGTCCCTCACCGCTCCTATAGTCAAGGGCGGCAGATATGGGGATTTTCAATGCCCCAGGAACCAATATGAGATCGATCAAATGAAAGTGGTTCCATATGCTTGGTGTCGGAAGCTTGCAATATGCTCAAGTGTGTACTGCATACGACTTGGCATTTATTTACCGGGTTACTTGGCGATTCGAGCAATCACTGGAATAGAACACTGGAAATTGGTAAAGAAAGTCTTGCGTTATTTGCAAGGAACGAAAGGCCTCATGATGACATATAGAAGATCCGATTCACTTCATATAGTGGGATATTGATTCGATTATGCGGGAGATAATAGAAAATCCACGTGCGGATATGTGTTCACTCTCAGGAGGGAGCTATTTCATGGAAAAGCTCAAAGCAAACCGTCACTACATCGTCCACAATGTATGCCGAGTTTGTAACGTGTTCGAGGCAACGCGGGCGGGTGAACTGCTAAAGAAGTTCATACCCGGTTTGAAGGTGGTTGACGACATCAATAGACCATCGAGGTTATCTTTGCGATAATAATCCAAAGTGAGACGGTATGCTCACAACAATAGGTCAAGTGGTCTTTGCCAAACACATTGACATAAAGTATTATGTTGTGAAGGATAAAGTCCGGGATCAAATGATAAGTCTTGAGCATATAAGTACCGAAAAGATGCTCGCGGATCCGCTTACAAAAGGCTTACCGCACCAACGTGTTCAGAGAACATGTAGCCGGCATGGGTTTAAGGGAAAGCCTATGATTCCCGGACTATAAAGGGCCCAAAAGTTAAAGTAACTATTTCGGATCGAGACGTGCATTGTAGTCAATTAAATCTATCGGCGATTGACCGTGACGATGAGACATGCTCTATGCATCATCTGTGAAGAAATGAGTAAGGATAAAAGGATTGAATTTTAAAGTTTAAAGATAAAAGTAATAGTGAGATCAAGGGGAGAATGTTAGATTGATCTCTCGACCAATAAGCCCAACGGCCTATTGGGCCTTGGTCTCGCATACGATCGGGGCGCCCAACCCTACATGGTTGGGTGGGCCCCGTCATATCACTGCTTATATAAAGAGGTGGGTAAATGGCGGCTCAAAGTACGAGGTTCACCGTGAGCCGCAAACCCACCGACAAAACCCTAAACCGATCTCGAGAGGGCGCATGCACCAATGACGGAAGCTCCATCGATCCTCGCCCGTCGCCATCGCTACGCCCGACCGCATCGCATCGACGTCAGGTGCAAACCTCTACTCCACCCGTCCGCCGCCTGCAGGCTTGCCTCCATCACCGAACCGCGATGATCGGGCACAACCGCGACATCATCCGGAGGCTCAGGTTCATCACCAGTCCTCTCTCCCCTATCTCCCTCTCGGTGTAGTGTTCTAGGTCTAAATGTGCATGTGTTTCATGGTTCTTCTATGAGTTCTACCCTCTAGACCGACTGCTAGATGATCCACAGTATATAACAGAACCCACCAAAAACCCTCGCCTCACTTGTCCCCTCGCCTCGCTGCGTCCTCCCTAGCTGCGGCGCGTCACTAGGACACGGAGATCCAGCGGCGATTCCGGCGATGGAGTACGTGAACCCTCTCACCGGCTTCCGCGTCGACGGCCGACGCCCCAACGAGGTGATGCCTCCTCCCCCGCTTTCCCCCTCGCGCGGTTCATGCGCCCAACCCTATCTCACCCGGCGTTTGACGTCAAGCAGATGCGGCAACTCAAGGGCGAGGTCGGCGTCGTTGCGCGCGCGGACGGGTGAGTAAGGTTCCCCTCCTCCGATGAACGAGAGCGAAACGAATGACTATTCGATTAGGATTGCCGACGGCGGTACGGCGCTCGCTTTTGATCGTTTCTGCTGTTTTTGTTGTTGTTGTTGTTGCTCTGTGCAGGTCGGCGCTGTTCGAGATGGGCAACACCAGAGTCATTGCCGCCGTCTACGGCCCTCGAGAGGTGATTCCCCTGATCCTATTTGTGTATCTCGGCGTGCATGTGTGAATCGTGATGCATAGGTCATGTGCACCACGTGTTCGAGGAAATGTCTCTCAGAAGCCTACATTTAGTCGTGTTCTGTTTGGTCTATAGTTGAATTCTCTGAGCCAACCTGACCTTAGTTTATTCTTCAGGGTCTTTTCAGTGAAGTGGGGATCATATGGAAAAACTAGTCTATTGTTTACATTCTCTATATGCATGAAGAGTGTTTGAAAACCACTAGGATCCACAATGGCCTCTGGACAGTAAAACATTATTTGTTTATACACACTGTTCTTTCTTGAGATATACTGGAGAACTTTTATGGAAATTTCAATCACTCGCGTTCTTTCCTTACTGTCATACTACAACACCAGGGAACCCTGAGAGTCATAGGGCTTAACCTTCTATTGCTTTCGTACCTCCTTATTTTCTTCTTCCCGTTGTCAGGAAGAGCAATTTACTTTTCAGTGTAACCAAATAACTAAAAGTTCATGCTCTTGGATTGTTCATTCAGGTTCAGAACAAAGGTCAGCAAGTAAACATCAACGAGGCTTTGGTAAAGTTTCACTGCCCAAGTGCATTCTTTAGAGGTTGTCCTTTCTGATGTGTTCCTGAGAGTGTTCTGTATGCAGGTTCGTTTGTGAGTATAGGATGGCAGAATTTAGTACAGGAGATCGGAGGAGAAAACCGAAGGGTGACAGGTACATTCCAACTTGAACACAGTAAAATTTGATTAAAAAGAACAGCCCAGTCCTTGGGCATTCGCAGCTTCTGGTTCATTTACTATCAGAATAGATTTCTGACGTGGCAAATGTGTATTATTTTTCTCTCTACCTTATCAACAAGCTTCTTTTCCGTGCATCCTGTGTTTTCAAAATCACAATTGACTTTCCCAATAGAGTAAAGAATCCTCAGTAAGCGTATTGCTGTCAGATGTTTTTATGGATGGCTTTGTTGGCTGCACATGCCAATGTCGCTAGAAGCCTGACATGTCCAGCCCATCGCAGCAGCGCCCACAGATGCAACAGAGGATTAGCGATGGGATTAGTTGGTTTGTTTTGTTTCTTCAGAGGAAAATTAGCTTGTTTGGTAGTCAGTTTGTTAGATTGGTTTCTTAGGCACTGAGCTCTCAAAGGCATTGGCTATTGAATTTAGCAAGCAAACAGTTGTCCCTAATTCATCTAACCTGGCCTCCACCTCTTGAGAGGGTGAACTTGCCTCCACCTCTTTGCCTAATTCCCCAATTCCCAGCCATATTGGTAATATAAGTTGTAATTCAGTGCCTTGATCTTATTCTTTTTCTTAGTTCCTTTCTCCGCTTGTTCCTTTTTTTGTCCCTTTGTGTTTGTACTTATGAACTTTTCTCTCTATATATTCTAATATGTTATAATCATCAGGGGCATGCCCTTCCTGTTTTCCATTAAAAAAAAGTAGGTCATGGTTAAGATCAGAAATTTCATGAGTAGCATCCAGCGTAACAAACAGTGCTGCATTGCTGCAGTACAATTTAGTTGACTTGCTTTATTTGCTGTTGGGGTGAACACCCAATGCGCAAAATAGATATAAGTTGCATGAACTAAAGTAGCGAACTAAAGTGGATTTAGCTTGAAGGTACATGGTGTTTCATTTCCCATATAACTATGATAGTGAACTAACACTACAATCATCTGGCAGGCGATCAACAGAAATTTCTCTTGTTATTCGACAGACAATGGAGGCAAGCATATTAACTCATTTAATGCCACGCTCACAGGTTGGTTCTGTTTAGTCACGTGTCCTTTAAAAAAACTTCAGATTTTTTATATGATATCAGGGCCAACTTCCAATGCTTGTTATACTTTTTTGCAGATTGATATATATGTCCAAGTTCTTCAAGCTGATGGCGGTAGGTGTTCTTCTTTCCTACTTTCTGACTGTTGAAGTTGTCTCCAGGCTGTATTTACTCTCAGAACCCCTCTATTATTTATTCTGGAACAAAGTTTTTTTTTTGTTATGTCCTAAAATGAGGTCAAGCAAGGGCATTTTTTTCCGTGGGCTGAGTAAATCTAGATTTATGCTTTTTTGCATGATGAGACAAGCTGGAGAATGTATACCACTTATGATGTGTGCCTTCCCTTAGCTACATTACCCAGTATACAACAACAACAACAACAACAACATACAACCTGTTCGGGAGGCCGTATCGTATCGTGGATTATTTACTGCTGGCTGGTTTGGTGTGAGAGAAAAACACTGTTCCCGGCTAGAAATTTACGATCGTTTACGAGCAAGCGAACAGGCTGATAGTCTTTCAGTCCCAAGCAAGTTGGGGTAGGCTAAAGTTGAAACCCACCAAGAGCCCCAAGTCACGGTTGAGTCACTTCAATAGCTGCTTTCTAAGTACTCATATTCAAACATAGATCTCTAGGTATATCCCAAGCTTTCAAATCTCTTTTTATTGTCTCTCCCATGTCAATTTCGGTCTTTCCCTACCTCTCCTCATATTATTAGCTTGGCTTAGGACTCCACAATGCACTGGTGCCTCTAGATGTCTCCTTTGGACATGGCCAAACCATCTCAACCGATGTTGGACAAGCTTTTCTTCAATTGGTGCTACCTCTAGGCGATCACGTATATCATCGTTCTGAACTCAGTCCATTCTTGTGTGACCGTAAATCCATCGCAACATACGCATTTCTGCAACACTCAGTTGTTGAACACGTCGAATCTTTGTAGGCCAATATTCTGCTCCATACAACATGGCCGGTCTAATCGCCGTTCTATAGAACTTGTCTTTTAGCTTTTGTGGTACCCTCTTGTCACAGAGAATGCCAGAAGCTTGTCGCCACTTGATCCACCCCGCTTTGATTCTATGGCTAACGTCCGCATCAATATCTCCATCTCTTTGTGCATCGATCCCAGATACCGAAAGGTATCCTTCTTAGTCACTACTTGACCTTCCAAACTCACATCTCCCTCCTCCTGTACTACTCCGCCAAAGTCACATCTCATGTATCCGGTTTTAGTTCTGTTCAATCTAAAACCTTTAGACTCAAGGGTCTGCTGCCATAACTCTAGTTTTCTATTTACTTTCGCTTGGCTTTCGTCCACTAACACTACATCACCAGCAACAACATACACCAAGGGATATCCCCTTGTATGTTCCTGGTAACCTCATCCATTACCAAGCCAAAGAGATACGGGCTTAAGGCTGACCCTTGATGAAGTCCAATTTTAATCGGTACTCATGCTATGGCATATTATTCTTTTGTTTCTTGGAAATAATTTAACCATAGTTTTTGCTTCAAAAATTATTATCTTCTTGACCATGACCATGTGTACAACAGGAACAAGGTCAGCTTGCATCAATGCTGCAACACTAGCTCTTGCAGATGCTGGGATTCCAATGCGAGACATTGTCACATCTTGTAGTGCTGGCTATCTGTGTTCTACTCCTTTGCTTGGTAAGACACCTACCTAATTTTCATATCTTTAATAGTAATCTTATGGTATAAATAAAATTCAAATAATTCTAATGTACTATGCCAGACCTGAATTACCTCGAAGACAGTGCTGGGGGTTCCGATGTCACCGTTGGCATTCTTGCAAAGATGGACAAAGTGACTTTGCTTCAGGTAGTAGAAAGATCATGAATCACATTCTTGCCTCCTCAAGATTCTCTGTCTCTAGGCCCAATCAAATTATATATGTTTTATTGCATTTTAATACCTACAATACAATGTTATTTCTTCTTAAACAATGTTATTGCAAATAGTTGAGTGGCTGAAATTAAATTATTTTTTTAATGTCTTGTGGTATGTCTCGCTGACTAGGGGCTCATGTTGAGTTTGAACTCTAGCCTACTCCAACTTACTTGGGACTAAAAGACTTTGTTGTTGTTGTTGTTGTTGTTATCAGTTTTTCTCTCCTGTGAAATACATCTTTTGTGTTTGATTACTGCATAGTATTATTCTTTTGTTAGCATCAGAAGGAAGCAACTTAAAAAGTACTTTTTCAGATGGATGCAAAATTACCGATGGATACATTTGAAAATGTAATGGGGCTTGCAATAGAAGGGTGCAAAGCAATTGCAAGTTACATCCGAGAGGTAAACAACTTTTTGTTGATATTCCATTATTCTTGCCTGCATTTTATTAGTTCTTTTTCTGTTTACATTGACTTCTACCAGTCATTGACCTTTGGAACTTCTGGGTTGTTGACGATCGTTCTGAAACAGGTGCTATTGGAGAACACAAAGAAGCTTGAGTGTCAGCGTGGTTAACCTTAGGAGGTGCATCCCATTTGCCCAGTTTGTTTACACTTGAAGCCTTGACTAGTCTGGGTAAAACTAAAATGGTTTATCTCCGTACTCGGCAGTGCATGCAGATTAATGACCTGAACTTGTCGAAGATTGCTGACCCAACAATGGCATCACACAGCCATTAAAATGTCTTACTGGTTGTGGATGGATGGCTTTTGTGCATCGTATTGCAGCGCACAGGAACTTCCTTGGCTTGCTTGAACTTCCAAGGGAGTATGTGCAAGTCATCAGAAGTTGTTCAAGGCAGCTTGTCATCATCAGAGATACAAGATATGCTTCCATGTTTAAAATTATGAGGAACCTGGAATTGTGATACTCAGTAATTCCTGTAAACTGATATAAATTGAGGGTGACATTGTACTGCTAATCCTCCGTAAGGTGTTATTGGAATTTTTGTGACAGTTCCTGTAAACTGGTATTTTTTTTAAAAAAAGGAGAAGGTCCAGTGGGGCTCCTGCGCAGCCCCAAATCAAGGCGCCCCCAAAATCCCTCCCTCCCACTTTGGCCCTGTTCGCTTCTCTTATAATCCGTCTTTTTTAACTGAAACAGTGTTTTTCTCTCACAATAAATCAGTCGAAACAGTGTTTTAGTTTTTTTTTTAGCGAAGCGAACGGGGCATTTGGTAGAGCATTTGCGGGCAATGCCACAGTGCTGCCTAGTTTTATTGCATTTGCTATGAAACCCACCCCTCCGCTCCCACACACACCGACAGGGGCACCTACTCAGACAAGTAGGGGACTTGTTTTACGGTGTACTCTCTCCGTTCCAAATTATAATTTGTTTTGACTTTTTTTTTTACCCGACCACTCGTCTTATTCAAAAAATTTGTGCCAACATAGTTAAATTTAAGTCATTTTTGAAGAATTTTTGTTAATAAAGCAAGCCGCAACAACAAAAAAAAGTGATATTGTGCACAAATTTTTAAATAAGACGAGTGGTCAAATTTGAGATAAAAAAAATCAAACGAACTATAATTTAGAACGAATTTAGTACTATTGAAGTTGCTTTTTTCAACCCTTCTATGTACATAAAGTTTTGCTATGTGATTTTTTTAACAAAAATTGTTGATTTTGTCCCTTGACAATTTATATTTTAGCACTTGACCTCTCTTATACGTAATTTCTAGCTCCGTCTTGCTTGTTCCCAAGCAAAGTTGCATAACTCTTGAATCCAGCAACTGAAACATATACTGAGGTCTGAGGTGCACAGACTTGGGACTCGGAAGTTGTGTAGGATATTTTTTAGCTTGGAATGTAGAAGAGTCGACCATACAGCCAAAAAAAACAAGGAAAACAAAGCTTAAGAACACATCATCAGCTCAGCTCAAGGGGATAATCTCTGTATCTCGATAGTCTCGTCTCTTCATTTTACTTTCTAGCATCCCTCTCTTTCCAAATCCCAAATCTCCTAGGCAAGTTTCGCCTCTTCATTTTACTTTCTAGCACCCCACTTTTTCCAAATCTCCTAGGTTAGTATGAAGCTGCTCCATTGGCTGGTGGATGGTAAATTGACACCGTCCAGAGGCACAAAGGATGCCAACTTGCCAAGTTCATTAGCTGTAGCACAGTCCAAAGTCGGGTTTGGAAGGCTGAGGACATGTTTCTGATCTAATTACAATAGCTGTTGAATTTGAAAGCTTGGATAACAAGTAACAACCCCACAGTTCAAAAGAGGATGAGTGAGAGGTCGTCTTTTAGTCACTGTCAACCGTTCACCCTTTAAAAGAATGTTCAGTCCAAATATGATGTGACCTCTAACTAGAGTTTTGGGCCTTGTTTAGATTGAAACTTTTTTCAATCTGATGAATAGTATCACTTTCGTCTTATTTGGCAAATATTGTCTAATCGTGGACCAACTAGGCTCAAAAGATTCATCTCATGATTTCCAACTAAACTGTGTAATTAGTTATTTTTTTATCTATATTTAATACTCCATGCAAGCGGCTAAAAATTGATGTGATGGAAAGAGTAAAAAAACTTGGAACTTTGATGGGATCTAAACAAGGCCTTGATGAACACTGCTTTTAGTTGACCACCAGAATAAAGGGGCAGACCCAGTGCCGAAGGCTCCCACATGAGTGGGATCTGAGGAAGGGATAAATCAAGACAATCCTTTCCCCCACAAATTCTATGGAGAGGCTGCTTCGAACCCACGACCCGGTGACTCAGTGAGACAGCTCTCACCAGTCATCACTGCACCAGGCCTGCCCTTCTTAGTTAACCACCAAAATAAAAAATACAAAAAATACATCCAAATCACAAAGTAAATGCCTTTAAAGTATGACCGAACTGATTACAGAACCAAGCTTCTAGCAATTAGATACTCCGAACTCATGTAGTTCATCACAGTAAGTGAATAACACTGCAGTGCAGATGACAAACCCGATCAAGTGGTCTTCTTCTTCTTCTTTGACTTAAGCATCACAAGACCCACAAAGACGCTCAGGAATGAAAGGAGAACTACGCCGGCCAGCACTGGTATCAAAATCGCATACTCTTGAGGCAGGAAGTACTTGTGCACAAAGTGATCGCTGTCAACGAATGGCTAGGGTGGGAACAAGAGGAACAAAATAACCATTCAGAAATAAAGTCATAATAGTACTACTTGAACTGAAACTGAAAAAAAAGCTTAGAAATCACTAACCAAAATGATGACCCAGAATGTATAGTATGTAAATATGGATAAGCTTGTTAGAGTCAGTAGAAAACCGACTACCTTATCACCCAGTTCCATTTGTCTGAAAGTAGTAGATGAAAAACCTTATCAAATGAATGATTATCACAATCCAAAGAAGAAAAAAATTGTTCTATGATGGGCTCATAATCTGAACTGCACATATTCTTGAATGCTTGTTCCCTTTGATTTTAAAAGTACGTTCTAGGAGGGGATTCGCTTGCTGTTTCCATAAAAAAAACAATAATCTGAGTTTCAACAAAATTGCCACATAGCCTAAACTGAATGAACTTTTATCAAGAGAGATGAGCCGCCAATCCACTGTTTTACCAATACGCAATGTGCCATGTCATAAAGTGCCTAAATCCACTGTTTTACCAATGTGCAATGTGCCATGTCACAAATGCAAGAGAAACAAACAAGAAAATAACAGTTAAAACAGAAAAATAATAGTTTACTAGCACTCATATACTGCAATGTGCCATGTCATAAAGTGCCTAAATCCCAAATTTAGGCATTGCACATCTGGATATGCTGCAGTTCCTATTGTACTGCATATCTGTGCAAAGTGATATAAAGATTACAATAGTGATGCCACTACGCCAGATTGCTACAACTGCAAGCATCAAACACAACAACTAGAAATTTCTATTATGACGGAGCAGGAAACAGTACTATCACTGGAAAACCAAACTCCCATATTAGAAAATCCAAGCATTGTTTTACTTCCTGTTTATTTTGTTGTAAAAGAGTATGTTAGCAGCTAACATGATATGATACAGTAATTTCAGGTAAGTAACATAAATTCTCAAATAACAAATTGGAATGGGCATCCTATACAGAAGTTGAAAGCCTAGAGGTCGAGGATGTCAGCAGTTCTAAAAGTAGGAAATCAAACGAGGGAATACTATGCTGATACACTTTTTTGGACTGTTTACTATACCCCACTTACCCAGTATTGAAGACAATTACATCACTTTACACAACTTTATACAGATCCATAAGCAAATGTCTGTCCTGGTAGCTGCTCAGTTTTACTATACTGATTTGTAAAAGTGGTTCATGAGCTCAGACTACACACATCTCCCTTCTTTACATGCCTTAAGTACAAAGTGTTGGTTGCTTATTTGTACATAACTGAGTTGGCTACTCGAACAGCAAAAAAACCCCTGAGTTGTTTTCTTTTATTCAGTATGGCAGGTATACTACTACAATGAACATTTTATTTTGTTCCAGTGACTTAAAAGTAGAACTATAGGAATAACTGAGTGATACCAAGTGCAATTCTTCTTGGCTGCACAGCATTTTCTGTTTACATTACTTGCACATGTTATTAGCTTAAAGTTCAGGAGTTGTTTCCCACATATTGAAATAATTTCTAAATTTACTACTCCCTCCGATGGCCACGCAGCGGCACTGTCTGTGTCCATGTACGTGCAGAACACGTGCTCGGTGTTCGGGCGCGCCGATGGCCAAGCGCAGCTGTGGCAGTCGTGCATGCAGGTGCCTCAGCTGTTGGGGAGCCTGCTGTTCCTGGTCGTCGGCAAGCGCGGAGGTGCCGCGAGCTCCGCTCACCCGCGTGCTGCTGCTGCTTCTCGCCATCGCCATCGACGCGCTCAGCAAGGGAAGATGAGGAGGGAAGGAAGAAGAAGATGACATGTGGGGCCCGCATGTCAGTGACAGGGGAGAGAGGCTGCGATGAAGTATACATCTTCGTATACGCTTGCAGCTGGGCCCAGGCCGTGTTCATACATATTCTGTGGCATATTTGTGGGAAATGAAGAATTGTAATGGCATGCTTCAAAATAGGCGAATAGTAATGGCGTTTCTCCAAACATCGAAAATTATAATGACATGAATCCAAATAACCCTTTTTTCCATCTCGGCACCGTCCACCACCTCCCTCGTTCTCGTCTCCCTCGCGTACCTGTCATCCGTACGCCGCCGCCGCCGCCGCCTGTCTCGCACTGCAACGGTCCCTCTTCCTAGATCGAGCCTCCCTCTTCCTAGATCGGGTCCTAGTTGGGCTACCGCCGCCGCCGCCGCCCTACGATAGGTGTTGAGGCCTTCGCCGATCTCTTGGCCGGCGAAGAGCGCCCGCCAGGTATTCCCACACCCTTCTCTTCCCTGTATGCTGTGCGAAATCGAGTTCCCAAATTCTAACCTCAAGCTATATGGCTATTTGATGCCTACTAACTTCTAACTTTTTGCAAAAAATTATCGGGTTTACACCACCCATGTCCCTTCCGTTTACTAGATCCGCCCCTGTGATGTATGTCTTTGTATAT